AATTTCATTCTCAGCTCTACTTTTTGAAGTTTTCAATCACCAATTAAACAACTAACACTTCAGTTGCTGAATTTACGTATTAAAGCTTGCAGCTTTACTAAGAGTGTTAAAAGAGCCTAATGATGTTTTCTGCTGCCTTTGGCTACATCCAGATGCCCCTTTTCATAGGCCATTACATTGTTTCTTACAATATAGAATAGGAAAAAAAAATAGAAAAAAAAAGGGTAAAGAGGAATAAAATACCTGGATGCCTCTTGAAATTACTGTTTCAATTACTGTATCATTTCTATTAATGATATAATCCACACAAATAAAAAGACCAAGAACAGACACCAGTCCTATAAGACGCATATATAAACCTGCCTTCGCTGCTCTTTCCTTTCCTTTCCTTTCCTTTCCTTTCCTTTCCTTTCCTTTCCTTTTTCCTTTCCTTTCTTTTCCTTTCCTAGATTGTTATCTGCACAATATATTTCACACAACTGTATCTCTTTTATTAATTTCACACTCTAATGCCAGAATTTTAAAGTACCAAAATGCCATTTTTGATATAATTGTTCCCCTAGTTCTGTTTCTGTGTTTATCTTTTTCTTTCCCTGAGACGCTGTTCAGCACAAGGCCCCTCACCCCATTTTTGGGTCCCTTGAATGTGTTCTTCCTTCAGTTTGGCCACTTCCCAATAAGCTTCTACTGTGCTATGGCCAAATCACTGCCCAGAGCAACTAAGGAGGATGAGAAGGACAGTGTCTTGGTTCCAGGAGGAAGAGAGAATCTCTCAAGAGCTGGGAGGCAGGAAAAAGCAGGAGATTCCACCACTAGATAACTATCCCTTTAGCAGCACCAACCAATTTTACCGTGTTTCTTTGGAGCAGAGATACAAGTTAATTAGACCAGCAGCATGCAAACCCCATGTGACTTTAGGTGGGGAAACAGCAACATGGTGCTAGTCTCAGATAAATGTAGTACTTTCTTGTGGGAAAAAAACTCTGTTACACTTCAAGAAGACCTACTGAAAACAGAAGGAATTATAGGTAATCCTCAACTTAATAATAATAATAAAGTTGGAGGGGACCTTGGAGGTCATCTAGTCCAACCCCCTGCTCAGGCAGGAAACCCTATACCAGTGGTGGCGAACCTATGGCATGCGTGCCAGAGGCGGCACTCAGAGCCCTCTCTGTGGGCACATGTGCCATTGCCCCAGCCTCGCCTCCCCCCCGCAACCCCCTCCTCACCAGCAGCCTCCCTGGAGGAGAGTTGCCCCCGAGCGTAGCCCATGCGGAGCAGCGCAGCCAAGGACATGGCAGCCAGGCAGTGTGGACAAGACTCTGCCCATACGCCCCATCGTGCACAGTCGATGCTGCGGGGCACCGACAGAGGGTGTGGCTGCCATGGCGCTGCTGGGTTGCCTGGGTGATCTGTGGCGGGCCCTTGAAGTTGTGAGTAGCCCTGCAGGCAGGCAGGGTGGGGGCGGAGTGGGGGCAGGGCAGGAGATAGAGTGGGGGCGGGGCCAGTTTTGGGGCACTCGGTCTCTAAAAGGTTCGCCATCACTGCCCTATACCATTTCAGACAAATGGCTGTCCAGTCTCTTCTTAAAAACTTCCAGTGTTGGAGCATTCACAGCTTCTGGAGGCAGGTTGTTCCACTGATTAATTGTTCTAACTGTCAGAAAATTTCTCCTTAGTTCTAGGTTGTTTCTCTCCTTGATTAGTTTCCATCCATTGCTTCTTGTCCTGCCTTCAGGTGCTTTGGAGAATAGTTTGACTCCCTCTTCTTTGTGGCAATCCCTGAGATATTGGAACTCTGCTATCATGTCACCCCTCATCCTTCTCTTCATTAAACTAGACATACCCAATTCCAGCAACCATTCCTTATATGTTTTAGCCACCAGTCTCCTGATCAATGAACTTATAAATGAACTTATAATAGTTTATTTAGTGACCATTCAGAGGTACAATGGCACTAAAAAAAGTGGCTTATGATCATTTTTCATGATCATTGCAGCATCCCCTTGGCCTTGGGATCAAAATTCAGATGCTTAGCAACTGACTCACATTTATGGCAGTTGCAGTGTCCCCAGGTCATGTGATTACTGCCTAACAAGCAAAATCAATGGGGAAGCCAGATTCACTTAACAACCCTGTTACCAGGGCTTTTTTTCTCATAGAATGCCCAGAACGGAGTTCCGGCACCTTTTTTGGATGGAACCTTGTAGGGTAGGCAAGGCGGGTTGTATGACGTATGTGAGTTCCAGCACCTTTTTTTTTTTTTTTAGAAAAAAAGCACTGCCTGTTACTAACTTAACAACTGATTCAGTTAACAGATGTGGTAAAAGGCACATAACTCACTTAATAACTGTCTCACTTAGCAATAGAAATTTTGGCTCAATTGTGGTCTTATAAGTCAAGGGTGGAATTGGTATATCACCACTAGTCTTGGCTAAAACAGGGATTTATTGTTCATTTATTTGGTCACCCAACTCACACATAAATGACAAAAGTACTCCACCATACAATAAAAGCCATTAATCTCCTCCCACCCACTCCCACCTCCCCAAGCAGCAACACATTCAAATCAGCCAGGATTGGCTTCATCTCTATTTGTGGTCTCCAGGCCTGCTGACAAGCCTTTCTTTTAGGGCCTTCCTTTTGGAAAAGCTGCAGGGTGGGGCCTGGGTACACCTCAGGGAGAATGATAAAGAAGGGCTAACACCAAGAAGGACCTTTTTGGTGATTCCACCAGAGGACAATCCTTAATCAACATTCTGCCTTTCCATCCTGGTGGGCCAGGTGGATGTAATAGGAGAGAGGCAGTCCTTCAAATAACCTTTGATAGTGGCTCCATGTGTTGTGGGCACTACACCACCCTGTTAAGCCACCAGGTGGCTTATTGAGGGGAACATAATAATTGTGTTTTCTTATACAGGGTTGGAGTTTAGCCTATTGGGCAACCTGTAACTTGACTTGCATTATTTTAATGGGACTTTGTAGGACAACCAGGGCAATTCTATTGTTTTTTCCTGAAATCTCTAACATTGAGAGTCTCCAAGGAACTGAAAGCATTTGTCATACGGTATAAGACTACAAACAGGTTTTTTTAAGGAAACTATTTACTTTCTCTCTGGGGCTAATATAAGAGACTTGAACAGTTTGGGGACATTCACCAATTTGTTCTTCATTACAAGATGGGGAGAAAAGAAGTACAGCAAAATTCTGAAAGAGATATTGCTGTGAAAAGGTTTCAGAATGGCAATTCCTTCTTTGAGGATATGGGTTCTTCTCCAACGCCTAAGTGCAAAATGCAACTAATCATCTGGTTCTTGGAACAACTGTCCATATTTTACATTTCTTCCTCAATTACATTTTCCTCCTGATTATAGAATGTAGAACTGCAGTATATGCATTATAATTATTTTCTTTCTATATCACCCAGACATATTTCAGATGTTGTTTCGGTAAGATATGGAGGGCATAAAGAATGTTTAGCCAACCAAGCGAAGACATGCATAAGTACAAGCACACGCTAAACATGTACAGGAAAAAGCTAGCCCAGTTTCAAAGAAAATCTAATAATAATGTGCTGTTTTCTCACTTCTTTTCTTATAAAATTGTGACAGAATGTTATAAGGATCCTACTGAACGTATACAAGCTCTCTTAGGCATCCTCAGGAATAGATTTCACTTATATTTATCCAATGAACAGTCATAGCATCAGGGGAGAAATTTCATCGTGATCATCTTCTTTATTACTATTCAGAAAGTTCCAAAATGAAGTGTTTTAGTTATTTAACTATTTAATTGCATGCAGTTTTTAATACCCTTGTAGCTACAGTTGTGGATTATTTTGCTTGGTTTGATTTGGTTTTTGTGCTTTCAAGTCAGTGTTGAATCCTGATGTCTGTTTGGACAAGTTTTGAAGTATTCTTGACAAGATTTTGGAAGTGGTTTGTTCTTGCCTGTTTTCTAAGACTGAGGAAGAAAATGAGTGGCCCATGAGTCACCCTGGTAGCTGCATGCCTAAGGCAGGACTAGAGCTTATGATCTCCTGGTTTCCTACCTGGTGCCTTAACCACTACTATACATCAAACTGGCTCTCTTGTGGAATATACCAATTAATTCTCCCTCCATATTGCATATTAGACGTATGGTGTATGTATGAGACTTAAAAAAAAATTACAGCTGCTTAAGACAAACTATAACTTAATGGAAAGAGTAGTATTTGAATGGAGGGTTAATAGTTTGCAGTTCAGTTTCTTAGGTAGTATGCTATAATTCTTTCATTAAAGGGCTATGTTGTTTTTTTTACTATTTGCCTACTTAATCTAACTTAGAATGTTCATCTATATGTGGAGTCAGATGAACACTTGTATCAAGGTCTCCCCAGTTCTAATTCCAGGATCTTAACTATTGTTCTATATAATTAAGATTGCATTGTTGACAAATCAATGTTCTGAATATAAAATTAATTAATTTGATTTATAAGAGCAACCAGCTTTCAACTGACCAAAGAATCATCATTGAATGAAATGGGCAGCAAGTAAAAACCTTTGGGTTGTACCTGAAATTATCTCATCAAAATCACAGACAATGAAACTCTTTAGAAGAGGCATCCCCTTTTTTCATGTGAAACTAATCTCTTAAGGTTATGAATGCATCAATTCATGATCAATTCTTGTCCAATCTACACAATTGATTGAGATTTAAAAATAAATTTATAGTTCTTTTTTGTAGTCTACATGTTTTAGAACAGGACCCCTATTTTGTGGTTTTATGAAAAGTGATGGAAAACTAATCAACAAACGTTGTGTGAAAAAATACACTGTATACAATCTAACTGAATATACAGTCCTACGTGTGTGCAGAAAGTTCTTCCTGGATCAAAGTGAATACACAACCCTAATTTAGCCATTTGGTTAAAATTGTTGTCCTGTATTGTTTCATAGGAATATTTGTTTTAAAGAAAAGTTTTGCCTTCAAATGTTTTTTATCTTTCTTCTTGTTTTTCAGAGAACTCTGGGTGAAGGGTACCACCTTAAAAACAAAAGGAATGCGCCCTGTGTCTACACCCCTCCTTCTCTTAAAGGTAAGCTAGCTCTCTATTGTTCACTATCCACAGTGTAACTCTTAAGCAGAAATACAGTTAAATTCTCCTCACTGCTACCATAAAATTTGCTGCACTGGTTCTGAATTTCATAGCAGCAAAAGCTACAGGGCAAGAACTGATACACCCAAAAATATTTGCAGTGCTTCCTTAGAATGCCATTATAGACGTGCTTTATAGATACAGTAAATACATAGTAAAGATTGGGTTAATGGTATTTGCAGGTACAAAGGTACCCTTAAACATTGCTTTCAGTGTCCCCAAACTCCTGTTTCACATGCATTTTTAAAAATATTCTTCTAAGGAAAAGAAATTAAACATGAAGCTGCCAGGCTGCAAAGCTAAGCATCAGCCTCTAAACTTTAGTTCTCTTTGGGTAATGACTTTGGGCTCCAGAAAGACCTCACTGGAGTTGTAGAAAGCAGTGTGAAAGCCTAACTTGTCTTCTAAATGTATTCTTCTTATTGACCATTTATAGCAACCATGGTGTGACTAAACAAGTCTCCCATTGCAGTAATTTTGGGAACGCATCATCCAAAGTTCTCCAAAATTCAAAATAGACCTCTAGCTCAAAGGATTGACTATTTAAAGTGTAATTTTACTGGAAGATGGTGGAAAATTACAAACTTGATAGTTGATGACTTATAGATGTTAGATATTTCATTATATATATTATTTATTTTCATCTTAGAAATGGTTATAAGTAGAAGACCCCTCTGTCTTTCTCAAAATAAGATACTGTAGACCTGGTTTATATATACCAACTACATAAGTTGCTTTGCTTGGTTTATCTTAGCACAGAACATAAATCTTGCTGTTTTAGCCTAGAAATCCTTATTTATGGCTTTAAACAGGCTATATAGACTGAGTCAAATATGGTTTATTCAATATTCCATTATTTCACATACAACAATAGGTGAACCTAATCATTTTATACAAAAACAATATTAACTTAAGGATTGTTGCATCTATAGGCTGATTTCCACGGCAGATTGTAGAAGCAAAACTGGAGAGAAAACAATGTGCATGTCATAATTTTTTGCCAAGATTTATCCTTTGCACACCTCATTTTTTTAAGAGAGGGAAAAATAATTGTGGTATAAATAGAAAAGCAGTGAATGTGAGCTGAAGATATGCAGAAATCTAGAGTTCCCTTATTTGGCTCTGCTGCTCCTGCTATGGATTTGGAAGCTGTGGGCATTCCTTGGAGCACTATTATGTTTACCTATGTTTTATTGTCATGTTTCCATTGATTTGTAAGCCCCTTAGAGACTTGCTTAGATAAAAGCAGCATATAAGTAAACAAATACATATAAAAATATTGAACTTTTTAACATTAGTAACCTTAAAGAGTCTTGTCAGAGCTAGTGTGATATCTCTTCCAGGTTAGAGGATCTCACTGAGGATATCACATTTAAGGTCCTTCCAGCTCTGTATCTCCAAATTTCTATTTTTTTAAAAAAAATATAGTGCTTCATAATCTCCATTTGAATTAATTGTTCCTCCCCTCTGCACTCACATGCCCACATAAGAACACACAAACACATATATTAAATTAAGACAGAAATGAAAAACTGATGCAACTATTTAAAGTGTTCTTAGTTAATGACAGAATATGTCTTGTTCCACTGAAAAGTTAGTTAATATTAACATTTGTGGACAGGACAGCTTAACTTCCAATTGTATGCAATTCTTCTGAAAACGTTAACTGCAAATGCTCACATCTTCGTCAACTGCTTTTTTCACACTTTCATAAGACTCCCTTACTGCTAATTTCTTTTCTAGGCTACTGGAGAACTTGTAGTTTAAGGAAACAGACTCTTTTGCACTTAATTTGAATGTGATAGCTGACCCTTCTTGCACCTAACTTGAATTCTTATATTTGATAAAAAGTTTAAATTCCATCTGTTTCAAAACTAGCTATTTTGCAGGAATTAAGGTGACCTTAAGGGCATGGGGAAATGGTGGAGAAAACTGAATATGTGTGGGTGTTATACATGCGTAACCTTGTATTCGTTTGCATTAACTATATTAATTCTGGATAGAGAGACTCAGTTCTAAGAAGATAGGATGACTCATGTGTGTGTGTGTGCGCGCGCACATGTTTGTGCGTGTGTGTGTGTGCATGAGTGTGTGTGTGTGTGTGTGTGTGTGTAGACTATGCTTCCATTCAGCCTGCCTAATTTTTAAATGGGATGCAACATTTAATACTGAGTTTCTTTCAACACTCTCAGTTAAGTACAGTTTGTTCAAAGCAAAGTGTTCACCTTGCAGACTTTAAGTGAATCAGTTATATTTACTGACAATGAGCTCAAAAGTCTCCCTACTGAACTGAGATGAGCATAAAAGCATGTATGTTGATGCAAATCCTTATTCAAACTGCTGATTGCAAGCACTAGCTTTAGTTAATATTAGTTTAGAAGGGAACACTTCTTAAATGAAACCTGCCCAAACATCAATGATACCTGCATCAAACAAAAATGATACCTGTATTGTGTCATGACTGAAGGCAGATTTCAATCTGGGTTTCCCAGATAAGTTCTAAAACCCTATTCTATCCTAGTTTACAATTTCTTCTGATGAAATCATATCTTGGCTTATTGCTATAGTCTGGCTTCCATGTTGAACTTGCCCACTGAATCTTAATATCCCCCCCTTAATTTAGTTATCCAAGTTACATCTTCTAATGAATGATTAGTGAATGTTTTACTTATAGGTCCTTATATTTGTTTTTGATATCATAGGAGAAAAGAAAAATGTCCATATTTTTTCTTCACATGGAGAAATTGTTTGAAGGCCTAGAATTGAAAGAGGATTAATATGATTCTGACACATATACTGGATTCTTTCTCTTTTTCACTAAGTGTATAGATTACACAGAAATTACTGTAAACAATTCTCACAAAGAGAAGTGTATGTTTTTTCATGCCAGAAAGCAAGAAACCAAATCCATTTCTTGTAAATCCAATTATCCCTACTTAATTACTGAGAATGTCGTATTTTCTAACACAAGGCTAATATGCAAGGGACATGATTTTGTTCCTAAAATCTTGCTATACTATCTTGACCACAATCAATAGGCTAATTAGCAATTTTTAATTAATCTCTGGCATAATACTCTGTTTTTCCCCCTTTAAAGCTTGCTAACCTGAAACATGCATTGATCAGCTAATATGGTACAAACATATATATAAAACAAATTGGAATGATGTTCTTTTTATTGTTTTAATTTTAAAACATTTCTCTCTTTTCAAATGAAAAAGGTTTTTTTAAAAAATAACACAGAATACCTTGTTTGACTGATAAAGAACAGTGAGTAATTATTTCAATATTTATCTTTCAAAACTAATAAATAGGTTTGTCAATGAAATATGAGTTTCTTTATATTTATTCCTTCATGAAGCATCAACCTTAACTAAAAATGAAAATCTTGGAGACAGAGGAATAAATGTGATTAATAATACATCCAACTCATGAATTGTCACTTGAGATTTGCTCAGAATGCCAACATACTGTAGATCTTCCAGAAATAGGTGTTTTTCATGTCATCAAAATTATCCATGTCTCTTGGGAATCAGTTAAAAACAACTTTGTAATAATTAACTTCAATGGAAAATATCTGAGTCTACTAAAACATTTTGTTGCCTTCCGGAAATAAGATGACGAGCTTTCTCACTATTTCATGAACAAAAGACCACCAACCTGGTAGCTGAACCTTTCTCCAACATTTGTAAAGGGAGATCATTCTCTGAGAGGAGAGGCAGAGGTGCGGACTCTAATCCGTATCCTATTTTATTTATTTATTTATTTATTTATTTTCCAACTTCTATGCCGCCCTTCTCCCCACGGGACTCAGGGCGGCTCACAGCATATTAAAAAACAACACAAAAAACATTTCCCCTATAAAACCAATTAAAAACCAAATATATTTATGGCTGTGTCATTATTAAAATCTTTAAAAAATTATTCCCTATTTAAAATTCACCCTAGGTCAGTCCCGCTTGTTNCCGGATCTCGGGGGGTAGTTCGTTCCAGAGGGTGGGGGCACCCACAGAGAAGGCCCTCCCCCTGGGGGTCGCCAGCCGACACTGCCTGGCCGACGGCACCCTGAGGAGGCCCGCTCTGTGGGAGCATACCGGTCTGTGGGAGGGAATCTGTGGCAGAAGGCGGTCTCGTAGATATCCAGGTCCTATGCCATGGAGCGCTATAGTACACAATCTCTCCTCCACTTCCCAGTATCGCTTATCAAGATTATAACAAAAGCTAATGATTGGGTCAGCCCTGGAAATACCACTGTCAAGCTTGTTCTTCATGCAAGAAAAATTTGAGCAAAATGATGAGATGAGAGGGGTAAAATACCAAATCATTAATTTCACTGCCCAAAACCTTGTTTGTCCTGTTAATCACAGTGTCCTTTCAATTCTGTGGGGGAACATCTTCTCTGCTTCCATTGGAAGCACTGTGCATGTGTACCTTACAATAGATTTTTCCAGTATTATAACTTCCCAGGACAACCAGGCTGAATCCAAAACTAGAAGAAGAATGATTTGAGTGGTGCCTTGGGGAGGGGAGTAAAGAGAGAAGTGGGTCTATTCCATTTGGCATTCTCTGATTCAGTAGTGGGTGATTTCAAAAGCTTTCTGCGAATGTTCATTTGAGACCTACTGGCAAGAGCAATTTTTTCTTTGTATTGGAAACCTGCAAGGTAGATAAGTGGAAGAAAAATGAAATGATGAGTTTACATGTAATGCTAGCCAGGATAATATTAACCATGAGTTATCCACACAATACTATTTTAAAAAAAAGACCTGAACAAAAAATCATCCCAAATGTTCCTGAAATAAATTAGTGGAAAGCAACTGTGTAACACAAGTTCTTCATTTGGAGGGGAAAATATTGTAGACATATCTAAGACTTGAAAAAACGATATTTTAATGAACTGAAAACAATGAGAGGTAAACTTTAATGGCAGGACAAGAAAA